GGGAGGAAGACCAGATTTGCCCCAGGATGGAGTATGGGGTAGGAGGGAGTTCAATCTTCTCCTTGAAGCCTTTCTTGATTGATCCAGACACAAGGGCTCTCTTCCTCTTTGAGATCTGAGGGCTCTGAGAGACTGTATAATCAAGACAATCAAAGACAAATCTAATGGGAAAATTAAGGAGCAATGTCAGCCCCTTTCTGCATCCCCTTTGCACTAGAAACAGTCACATTACTAAATAAACTGTCACATAAACAATGAGGTATTCAAACCCCTGGTATGGGCAGTAAGGGGTAGATTGTCTGTACAGAATTTAAAAACAAATAAAAGTTGGTCTATTTTTAATTATCACCATGTGCCAGCAAGTCTCAATAATATCAGTGGTAGAATATTCTTCCCCTTAAAAATAATTTTGGTTTAAAGTTCTAAATAATTACTATGGTTACTGCTGAGTTTTAATAATATGTATGAAAGCTTCAAATTAACATATTTTTAGTACTTCCTCTTTGATAACAATTACATTCTATGCAGACAATAATGTAGTGAAAGCGTGAGGAACTAGGTGGAGGGGGGTAGTGGGGGAAAAACGGGGACATCTGTAATACTCTCAACAATAAAGATATTGTTTTTTAATTAAAAAAGGAAAATTAACTCAGAGAACTTCCCAGTTATAAAGTTAGCCCTGGACATATACAAATTCAGCTACATTTCAAGAGTAAATTCATAATGCTCAGAATCACTCAAGCTTGCTCCAGGCACAGTGTGTATCTCCAGCCCCTGTGGTTCTCCACATTCCTGCGTTTAAACAATAGATTTTAAAAACATAGTAATACCACAGTGATTACAGAGACAAAGAAACAGAATGTGAGAGGTTTTATTTCTTTCATTCTATGCAACCATTTTGAATATTTATTTGTTTAAAATTTGAAACAGTAAAACTGTACAGACTGAAGTACAATTTCATGAATGAACTAAAGTGCATTCATGCATGAAATGTTTGGTTGATTAGTATCTTTACAATTGAAATGTATTCTTCTCTTTAAAGTGTTAATTATTTTTAAATTAAAAAATGAATGAAGAAAAAAACTTTATATTTAGTAATTACCTACATTTTATCTTTTTTGGCATTTCAGTTTTTAATATAATTCACTTATTAGTTACTAGAAAATTATTTATATAAACTAATATATCAGGCTATAACTAAAGAATTAAAGTTCACACCAGGTAGATATAAACATTATTAAGTGAATAGTACATTTTCACTTTCTTGAATTCTAACATTATTTTTCAAATATCTCTTAACTTGCATGGTTATATGTACAAGTTCAGTAAAAATTATTCACTGGCTATGTGTCTTTTCATTTCATTTTATTATTTGTTTCATTTCACAATTATTTCTGTGAATATGTTCCCATATAGAAGAGGAGAATGTTAAAAATGTTTTCTGAGCATCAAATATGCCAGGTACAGCCTAGTCATGGGCTATACACATTGTGATAATACAACAGTGGTTTCCATGAGAATTCTTAAAAATTAAATCTTTATTTTTGAAAGTATTACATATGGCCCCCTTTTCCCCTATTAACCCCTTCCTAACTCCATAAGAAGTTTTAAAATGAGAAGCTTCCCAAACCTGTGAAGACTTGGAAAAGGATACTGTATCATTTGATAATTTGGGCATGGTTGAGATTTCATCTTTTACTGAATGTATTTAGGTTTTTTTTAGCGTTGAGAATTTCCTACCATTAAATCTGAATGTTTGAGAAAAGCAACAGGAACAATAATAGCAGGAACAACCATAACTAACATTGGCCTATAAACACCAGCCTAAAGCAAATGTGATCTTCATCTCTCTTCAGAAAATGTTTTGTTTTGACAAGACAAACCCATTGGGGACAGGTTTGGATGTCCTGAGTGTCATGAGAGGGATATGCACAATTCAGGACAAGCAGCAAAGAAAAGTCAACATGCTTGTCAGGTGGAAAATTAAAATGGTGCCATTGAGCTCAGTGCATCATTCCTGCCCTAAAAGCATTAGTTTTTGTTTCGGAGACATGGGGAATATAATATCTTCTTTGTACAAAGAGAGAGTATTCTTGATGACTTTGAGAGCATATGGCAAGCCTGAATTTATCTATTCATGCCTCTATTCAAGAAAAATTCCCATGCTAGACAATGTGGCAGTTGATGATCCCCATCCTGCTGATATGAGTATGCAGGAACTGCAGAAGTGTTCCCATAATCCCATTGCAAGTCAGTGATGTGGTCAGCTCACTCTCTTCTCTACTCTGTACACTCCTCCCAAACGTATAGTCAAAGAATGCTGGAACTACAAGGGATGATCAATTGTACTACTAGCACTGGGTGACAGCTCGATGGCTAAATGTAATATAAAAGAAAGCGAGACTTACAAGTAACTTTATAGTGTCAGTCACACACTGAGGGAGGTGAAGTTGTGTATGTATTTTTGTGTGGGAGAGGGTGGTAAGTGATCATTTCTTCTTTTTGCCATCCAATCCTTTTATTTTTATTTAAAGAAATGGAATGCCAGGGAGACTGGGTGCCTCTCTCAATATCACACAATGTTTTAGCATTTGAACAACCATGTTCAAATGAATATTCTAATTTTTAGCTATCTCATGACCTTTATAAATATCTCAAAAGCACCAAGCTCTGTATTTTCTCATGGTTGATAAGCAAAATGTAAACTTCTCCCACCTAATGCTATTCCATTTATTCTGAAGCAGCTAAAGGTCTCCATGTCACTGTTTCAGAAAACCATGACCCAAGTGCATATCAGTTCATGAATCTGCCATGAGATCCCTGCCCTCTCTGCCTTTGCCCTTCCATGGCCTCCCATGCCCACTCACTGCTCTAATATCAAAGAGCGCCTGGTTCACCTCATAAGGTTCAGCTCAAACACAACCTTGCCATAAGCCTTGTTCCAATAGCCCCAGTAGAAGTGAATCTTCTGCACACCCACACAAAGTTTGCACCTCTTTTCCAGTGTTATTTTGTTCTCCCATTGGTCAAGTGTTTTTATTTTCCACTGGAAGGCAAGCCCCATGCTGGCAGATACCATGTCTTATTTATTTATAAGAGATCCCTCTGAGCCTTCCTTTCAGCCCAGGTGAGCTCGAAGAAGAAAGAGTGGTAGATAGTAAACTTATTTCAGAGAAAATACCCTGTTGTTAATCTTGTCTCACAAATGGAATGGTAAGTTCCTTGAAGGAAGAAAGTCTTTGTCACTCTAGCTGGGTGGCTCAATTGGTTGGGGTGTCATCCCCTACACCAATAGCTTTTGGTTTCTATTCCTGGTCAGGGCACATACCTAGGTTTCAGGTTTAATCCCCAGTTCCGGCACATATGGGAAGCAACCAATGGATGTTTCTCTCTCTCTCTCTCTCTCTCTCTCTCTCTCTCTCTCTCTCTCTCCCTTTCCCCTCTCTCTAAAATCAATAATAATAATAATAATAATAATAATAAATATCCTCCCATGAGGATTAAAAAAAGAAATTTTTGGAAAAAGAAGGCCTTTGTCTATAACTATCATGTCGTTTTTCACGATGCTGGCACAGAGTTATGGGCTCTGTAAACTATGATTGACTTATCCCAGTAAATGAAAAGGGAACTTAGGAGGCTGAGAGAGCCTATTAACTTAGGGAGAGCATCGGACTTCTGGAAACAAAGGTTTCACTTGGTCTTTCCGCCTCTGCCTCCTTGCTTTTTTGTTATAAGTCTAACCACATCTTAGGTCTGTACTTCCTTTTGCTAAATTATCTTACCCTTTCTCTTCAACTTTTTGAAAACCTCATTCTCATAACTTCACTTTTAGTTTGCTTTCATTTTTATTCTGAATTTTTGGAAGCGACTGAATTGGGAAGCCTTATTGTGCACTTATTTGAGATCTCAGAGCAGTTATAAATACAGGGTGTCCCCTCAAAATGTATATGCACCTTGAATGATTATAAAGCCAGTGTTTATTAATATAGAGTTCATTTTCAAAATTAAGTGAGTTATCAGCTGTTAAAGTGTGTATACATATTTTGGGGACATCCTAATTATAAATATTCAGAGTTTCTAAAAGTTCTTTACAGGGCTCTTGTCTCAATCTGATTCCTGAAAACTCAATCAGGTAATACTTATTCTGAGCAAGGATTGATGATATGCAAGCAGAAATTATGGTGACAGGTTTATCAGGTGTTAGGAAATAGCTTAAAAAGAGCATATTTTTATACCATGCTGCCAAGATTATAGAAAAAAAAGTGAAAAATTATGCTAGGTATGTGGAATGTGGGGCCAAAATAACATACATCAGTGGTTTTCAACCTTTTTTTTTTTATCTCATGGTACGCATAAACTACTAAACTTCTGTGGCACATCTAAAATATACTTTTTGCTGATTTGACAAAAATAGGTATAATTTTGATTCATTCACAACAGATGGCTATTGTTGTGTTGACTGTCGTTATTTTTTCAGACAACCTAAGGGAAAAGAGGTCAATGCTTCCTACTAAATCGTCAGGTATTGCATGTTTTAAAAATTCGTGTGGCACACCAGTGTACCTACCGCGGCACACAAGTTGGAAATTGCTGATGTGTATTGTTTTTGTTGTAAGAAGTAAATGCGTTAAAATACTTACGCATTTTAAACAGCCCCTGAAATATGATAAGTAATTGACAAAAAATGCTGTTATTATTTGTTTCTTATTAAAGTACAATAATAACAATAAGTAACAATAAAAGAAACTATATTTTGTAATAAAAATATTTTGGAAATTTAGGAAATTATTGAATAATTGAGGAAATTATTTTTTTTCCAGCAAATATTTATTATGTGCTACCACATGCCAGACACTCTGCTAGTGAGGGTCAATTACTGAAAATGTTATCTCAAAAATTATAGCATGGTGCTTAAGAAATCTTTGGCAGAAACTGTTGAAGTGGCAAAGGTCTGGTTCTTCCAGGACAGATTTGATTTTAATTTTATTTTCCTATTTCAGGAGAAAACCCCTGTAAAACACAACTTCGTGTTCAGAGGGAGTCAATGCAGAACGTCTATGCAGGGGATCCATTTCAACTGGAATGCCCTGTGGTATACTGCGCTGAGAGACCTAACGTGACCTGGTGCAAGTTCAAAGAAACCCAGTGTTTGCCTCTGGGGGCTAGCCAACGGTTACACATGAAATGGGAAGACAGACAGAATATTGCTGTTTTTATTCTACATTTTGATCGAGCAGTGGCTAGTGACAATGGATCATACCACTGTTTTTTGAATGTTTCATCTGTACTCATTGAAAGTCACTCAATAGCTGTTAATGTGAATGGTGAGTTCTAGACAATGAGACTATCTAATATTTTTCTCATCATGTTTCAAGGTAAAGGAAAAACCCAGATTCTTAAGTAATTGTGTTAGACATTGAACTTATATAAAACATTAAAATGGTGCTACACCTCATAGACTATAACATGTATGCACATATGTGCGTGCAGGTTATATATGTGTTTTGGGTTGAGTGAATTAGAGAAGAGTAGAAAAATATAATAAAATTTGTTGTTTTGCCTTAAGGAAGAATAAAATTTATTTGGTAAGTCCAAAAGTAGATCTCTAAAATGTGGGAAAAATTACAAAGTGAATACCAATAGTAGTAGACAGTTTTCTATTCTCTGTCCTTGTTTACTTTTTCTTTTATTTTTCTTCCATATTTCTGTCCTTGACTTTTACTGGTAATAACTCCTTGAAGTTATGTTTGTAGTGGTCATAAAATTGTACATTTATTAATAAAGTTTTGAAGTTATGTTAATAGTTCATGTTTGCACAGAGGGCAAACAGCACACAAATAACCTGACTCCCTGATAAGTTTTAAGAATAGTTATGGGTTTAGCTGTCTCCACAGAGTCTCTCCAGAGAATTGCAATAGCCTCAAACTACAGAGGAAAGACAGGTTGACATTAAATTGGGCAAAACTAAACTGAATGAAACATGGAAAACAAAAAAGAGGATTGGGGGACAGTAAAAAAAAAAATTTGGTTTATAAGACTCTCACAACTAATATCATATTTATTGGTGAAAGATAAAGCTTTTCCCCTAAGAAGAAGAACAAGACAAGGATGTATGCTTCTATTCAACATTGAACTGGAATTTCTAGCCATAGCAACTAGGCAAGAAAAAAACACTATCCAAATTGCAAAGGAAGAAGTAAAAATATATTTTCACAGATGATATGATATTATAGAGAAAATTCTTTAAAATCATCAAAAACTACTAGAGCTAATAGATGAATTCAATGAAGTTTTATTCACAACAGAGAAATAGTAGTATTTCTATCGTCTAGCAATGAGCTAGCAATCTGAAAAATAAATTAAGAAAAAATCCCACTTAGAATAGTATAAGAAAGAATAAAACATGTAGGAATAAATTTAACCTAGAACGTACAATATTTTGGTGCTTGCTGCAACCCTGAGACTCTGCTTTTGAAAATTTGGGGTCAAACTGAATGCTAGTTGCTTGTGACCATCCGTGCGCTGGTTTATAAACCTCTTTAGAACGGAGGTTGTGTCTCAAACATCTTTGCTTCTCTACAAATAGATGGCATAGTGTCTGGCACATAGTGGATGGTTCAATAAAGATTACTTTGTAAATGGATTAAAAAACAATCTATGGTAAGTGAAAAAAATGCCTTTAATAACCTGGAGAAGACTATATTGAGGATTTATGGAATTAATGCTTTCTGGAGAGAATTGTACTATTAATTCACATAATAAGATAAAATACTAAAATTTTAAAGAAGTAATATATATTTTTTTAACTGGCAAAATAAATGCTAAAAATAAGCAAAATTTTCCCTAGCAAGTTTGGCTCAGTGAATAGATCGTTGGCCCTCAGACTGAAGGGTCCTGGGTTTGATTCTGATCAAGGGCATGTACCTTGGTTGCAGCCTTGATCCCAGCTCCAGTCAGGGCGCGTGCAGGAGGCAACCACTTGATGTGTTTCTCTCACATTGATGTTTCTCTCTCTGTCTCTTCCCTTCCCTTTCACTTTCTTTCTCTAAAAAAAGCAAAACTTGCCCTAGCCAGTGTACCTCAGAGAGCATCAGCCCC